TAGACTCAAAAGCGGCGCGCGTTCCGCAGGCGGCGACAGTCGCAAAAACAAAAACAGGCGCCGTAACAACAAGGAACTGCAGTTGCTTGTCTGCTAAAGACGCCGGCTCTCGGCGTCGTATGCTCGTTCGTTGGCGGCAGTTGGCGTCCCGACCGCTTGCGCCATCTTTTGTCTCCCGTGCGAAACGGCACCGTCTTGTTTGAAAACCAGTGACTTCGCTGCGTTTCCATAGCAGCTAAGCCTTTTTCTTCCTTTATTTTTTTCTCAGGTAAGTTCGCTCTTTGCAAATTTCACAAAAAAAATGCACCATCTGTGGGCAACGCTGCACAAAGTCGTAGCGCGATAGGTTAAGAAACCGAATTTTGCGACCGATTTAAAGAGCCTGGCCTCTCCTTGAATCACCCTGTATATCTGGCAAATATCGCGGTCGAATCCAGGTCCTGCCGTGCCATGTGCCAGCTCAACGCACAACGCTGCGGCACCAGCAAGCAAGCATTCGACTCAAAATGGCTTGCCTCGCGTTTAATCTTCCACGTTTCGAACCTGCGGCGATGTGGTGGGGTAAGCGAACTTTCAGAGGCTTGACGTTCTTCGAGGAACCGAGGAAAGGACTGCCCACTGTCCTTCCACGGTGCTGATGAACGTTGAGAAACGCAGAATGTCTGGCTGACGCGGTTACGTAGGTCGCGTGCAGGGCGACCTGGGTCACAAGGCGATACTACGGTTACGACACAGTCACCGGTAGAACTGTTCTGTCGCGCAAACCACCGACAACATGTAATCACGGAAGCCACAAGAGACGAGCAGAAATCGCGAAAGGACCTGTTCCGGCCAGTTCAGTGTTTTCCCACTAGGTGCCGTTCGTTTTGCTGGGGTCGCGAATACTCGCACGCAACGCCACTGGCTAAGAAATTCCTTTGTTGTTGTTTAATTTCAGGGACAAAAGCGAGCTTTTTTTCAATTTCTCCTTTGCAAAACTTGATGACGTAGCTGGGGGTTGCAGTATCCCTCAGTGACGATATTTGAATACGGATCACAGATTGGACCCGAGCATTGGGTGAGCACTCGATTCGGGGTCGTGATAATTAGTAGCGAGTTTTAGAATAAGGGGCCCACAGCTTTGGGTGCCCCAAACAGCTTGGGGCGTCCCACTGAGCATGCGCAAAACTTCTGCGCATGCCCACTGCGATGCCCCGAGCTGTTTGGGGCACCCAAAGCTTTGGGGGCCCCTATTCTAAAACTCGCTCATAGCTCGACAAGCGTTCGGAGATTGGCCCGTATCCAATCGCTGCAATGACGATTATAGCCGAACCGTAACAATGCCTGGAAGTCAGCGCGTACCCTGTGCTTTGCTAACCCTATAGCGCGTGGCTGATCAATATTGGCGGCATATGATAGACTCCGTACACTCTGACTGGGAGTTGAGGAGACAAACGCTGCTCGTTTTTCTTTGATTTTTTTTTTCTGCGACTTCTATTGCGTGTGGTGAAGAACGACTGCGTGTTTCATACATAGGTCATTAAAGTCACTATTTCGTTTTATGCAGTCTTTGCTCAAAGTACAAAAATCGTTGCATCGTCCATTTAAAGGGGGACAACGATTTCTAGACTTCGGTCAAATCTTTGTGGATGTTGCCCTCTGACACTTGTAAAGTAAAGAAAAGAAAACCGATTTCGCCTGCGTGTCCTAGTTGTTGTGTAAAGAAAATATAAATATTGGCATATCTGGCACCCATCAACTTACTCGTACTCCCAGTCCTAGTGACATAATTCGGGGTGCCGTGTAGGTTCCCGTGTGCTCTCTCGGAAGACGCTTCCTCTCCCTCTCTCTGTTGACGTTAGCGGGCGCTATGCTGCAGCTTAGAGCCGAGCGAGGTCACGTAATATTCTCGCCGTAGTTCCTCTGGCTGCCACTTGCGGCTGCAGGTGGGTGAAAAAGCTCGACTTTTACTTGGCGATTATGCAGCGGAATCGCGACATATTTTTTTAACAAAGGATATGTTTTCTCTATCCTCCGAGACACGATGAGCAACGCAAAAATGACGAGATGCAAAATCTTTTCATCTTAAAATCGTTGAACCCCCCCCCCCCCCCCCCCCCCCTTTAAGGCTCGTTCACACAGTCGCGTCGACTGCGGTTCGCCGCGTTGCGCGGTGCAGCGCAGTGCCTCCCCATTGGCTCGTCGTAAGCGTCGCCATAGCAACAGCTCTACGCAAGCAGTCTTAAAGGGGCCCTGCAATCATATTTAAGCGTCTACCTTTTTTCCGGTTTCCACGTCTCTTGGGGTTCGGGCAAGCCAGCGGGCACGGAGAGAGTAAATAAGTATCAGTGCGTCATATTTTAACCGGACGACGCGGAAACCTCCCCCACCGACGGAGGCGACCCGCGCTGCCTAAAAGCGCGCGAAATGTGATGTCTTTGGTCCTTGGCTTACTACTGGTCAAAGCTGCTAAGAGCTTCCTTTTAGTCGAAATACAAAATATAAGTGACGCCAGCCGTTTCAATTATTTATAAAAGTAGTTTTTGTTCAGCATTTCAGATCAGAAAAGAAACAAATGCAGTTTATAAGATACGGAAACAAGAAATGACGCGTCGATATACCCGCCACCAAGAGGTGGAAAAGGCGGCGCATACTAGAAAGGTGTAGTGGGATGAGAAACCGACGATAGGCGAGTGTAGAAACGTCCCGGATGTACGCGGCGGCGCTGCAGTCGAGTATCCGACCGGCTCGGAGCGTTCTGAAGGCCTTCGGCGAGCAGTTTTGGCTTGCTGTTCGGCCCTTTGGCGGTATGGTATGGCAGCGCGAAGTGGCTCCCGTTCTGAACTGATCTTTACCCCGTGTTTGCTGTCGTTTGTGGCTGATGAAGTGTCATGCCGAATTAGTGTTTAATCGCGCAGCAAATACAATGCGAGCCCTACTGGCTGCCCGTTTCATGCAGCCTAGCCAGAACATGCTTTAGTGGCGCCCTCTCGAGCCGTCGACACGGAGTGCGGCTGCCGTAAGCGCTCGCTGAGCTCACTACCCCTCCTGTAGTTCACGGCCACTCAAGCGACCAAGGACGTCATGAGAGAGGTTATTTTTGCTTGTTTTGTAGTTTTAATTTGCCTATAACTTTTAAAATAAAGCGAAATTCGAGAAAAGAAAAGTTTATTAAGTTACTACGTTCAGTGCGCTCAGGTTCGGTGTAAATTAAAAACCAGTAAAAAAGTCCTTGCAGGGCCCCTTTAAGGCTCGTTCACACAGTCGCGTCCACTGCGTTGCGCCGCGTTGCGTCGCGCCTCCCCATTGACTCGTCGTAAGGGTCGCCGTAGCAACAGCTCTACGCAAGCAGTCTTAACGCAAACAAACGCAAATTTGTGAACGAGCCTTCATGGATCTCTTGTCTAGGAAGCGTTGGACCAACGCCGCGTGTCTTTCGACGGATTGATGAAACACGAAGCCAAGCCGAACGACGACGCAGCGCTCGTATGCATATGCACCTGTGCTCGACCTCGCTGGGATGACGTCGAACTGCTATACTTCGTGTCATATAAAACAATCTTAAGCATCAGCAATTTCTAAAACCCAAAGTTAAAAGTAATTACGGGAAATCAAAAATTATCTTATGAAATCTCTAATTTCCTCAACAAACATATTCGCATCTATCAAATGACCCAAACAATGTTTTCCGTGTTTCTTTTGAAAAAGTATGTTAAAGATTATCCACATACCTGCAATCCAAGAGCTGTAACCTTGAAATATGTGCGGTGTGTACTTTTTTCCGTTCATGCCCCCGTCAAATTTGTAAACCTGCTGCCCGAGTGCTGTATTGGTGCTTGGGACATCGTCGGGTAATTTTAATCACACGCATTTTGTCCCAACTTCCTTGAGAATCGTGTCAAAATAAAATATGTTAATCATTCAATTAATGTTATGTCCCAGCGCTTGCAAAACCTAGAAAACACAAGAGCGCATACACATATCTAAAATCCCAAGGGCACGGCGTACTCTCTGAGCTTGGTTGGCGGCGAACGCCATGACGTTGCACTTCTGCGGCTGCTTCATTGGCAACTCGTCTCGTAACGTCGGTTGCGCGCTCTCTATGTGCACGGCCTTTGACTTCTCTCGGTGGTGTTTGCAGAAGTATACCTAAGCAGCTGTGCAAACATCCGAACAAAGAACCTGACCGTTAACTAGTTCATACCCATTGCCATCTGGTGTGTCTCCTTCAACGAGGTAGAGGCGTTTAAAGCGATAAACTGGTATACCGTTCACCAGATAAAAATGACCCCCCCTTGGCTAGCGCCATGTTGTACAATGTTGACCACCAGACACGTGACCGTACCCGATCCTGGGGCTTTTACGCAAAACTGAGCCAAGATTTGTAATGCGATCGGTGTAAAAAAACACGATAAACTTTTTTTCAATACTGTTAGCCCTAGAGATTATTGTCGAGCTCCGATAAAAACCCAAAGTACAGCACCGGCGCTGACGGCATCTAACGGAGCCATCGCGAAGCTGCCTGAGTTTTCGTCGTAAAGGCACATTTTGGACTTAAAACAAACAAAACATAATATATCTCGTCGGTACTGTTATTAGAGATCAAGGAATTATTTGTGCGCGGTACTTCGTTGAAATCTAGACGTAAAATTATAAGGTCCCGTGTCTATCGTGGTCAAAAATGTGCAACATGGCGGCTGCCAAGTGGGTGTCGCTTTCAGCTGCCAGTTTATCGCTCTAAGGCCTTCTACCTTGTTGGTCTCGTTGTTTTCGCCAGTCTTACGTGATCCCGCTCTCCACGCATGCGCAGGCCGACCTGTGTGGACGACTCGAGCGATGATGCCGACGAGCCTGCCCCTGCCGGCCGGCACCCGCCCCGGCGCGGTCCACGCTGCACGTGTCGCTGCTGCCCCGAGCTGCTGGACGGCCTGTGCCTGGGCTGCCTGAGCGAGCCACCCACGAGGCTTCAGCAGCAGTACCCGTGGCAGGGCCAGGGCGAGGACCCCGCCGGCACGAGCGCCGAGCGCCACCCCGCCAGGGCCCGGCCCCAGCCCGAGATGCCCGCCCGTGCCAGGCTCCCTTCGGGCACGTCCTCCTCGTCGACGGCCTCGTCGCCCGCCGACGAGGAGAGCAGCAGCTCTGCCCTCGAAGCCCTTGAGAGGTGAACTGACGAGCGCTTTGCGCGCCTACTATACAGAAAAATTAATATACCTAGACAAATAAATTCCGCGCATAGGTGTACTGTGCTGCATGAATTTCCGTAGAACTACGTGTGGGTGGCACTAAAGTCACTCGATCCTGGGAAAGTAGAACCATTGCCTTCTCTGCCTGCTAGCCGGACACAAAGAAATACAGACGACCAAAACCTCGCAAGATGGTTGGCTGATCGGTGTCCGTTGCCATGGCAATCGCCATTTCGGCCCCTGCCTTATCTTCGAAGCTTCGAGAGGGTCGTTCTAAACCAGTTGCATCAAGATCGCCGTGGAGCATCATCGTATAGACGCTTTACACACGCGCCCGATTACAGCCGCCATTGCTGACCTTCTCTTGTCTTTCCCAGATGCCGAGCCACTAAAGCGGGCGTTGGCAATCCTCCAGAAAGGCCAATGCTGTGGAGAAGGGCACTGCAGAAACTAAAATGACAATAACCTGCCCCGCTATGGTAACGATGAAGTGAAGTAAATGTAATAAGAGGAAACACGAACTGAATGTCGATTATGGCGGCGCCCATGCAGAGGTGCTGCAAAGCTTAAGGAATTCCTCGCCAATATAAACTTCTTTGACACTGTGTATGCAATCAACTTATCAATCACTCTCATCTCCACGGATCTCTTATGATGATATATTGGAAGACAGGAAACTTATTTTTCAATGCCTACAAGCACCGACACCGCATGTGGTAGCGGTGCGAAGATGTACGCTTGATTCATTCGCCCATGTGTGGATAGCAAAATCTCAGTGTACAAGAAACTTTCTATAAGGCTACCCAACACCAGCGAATTTAGATTGCTTTAGCTCGAGCGGAGACGTGAAAGAGAAACTGCCCGTTTCATGAGCCAAAAGGGCAACCATACGAGGAGCTTGGCGCTACTTTCCCACGATCCAGGGACTTTAGGCGTGGCTACAGTGTTGTTGTGGCACAAGAAAAGAGAGGGGTCTAAAGCTTCGCCGAGTTGCGTGAACTGCCCGTGCCGTAAAGCACGCGAGCTCGGCCGCCGTCCAAAGCGATGAGCGAAGATTGTAGAATCACGTAAGAATCACGGCTGCTGGAGCGCCGTCTATTGCCGTTTCAATCAGGCAAAAGCGCCTCGCGTTGAAGCGAGCAAACGAGCAAGCCAGCTGATAAGGACGCGCATGCGCATTAAGCGGTTCTAGGCGGTGTTATTTGAATGACGCCACTTCCGTGACCAAGCTTTCGTGGCATCGGCCTCCCAGCTCTGTACCGCCTTCCAAGCGCGGAGCAAGACATAGTTCTACGTAAAAGAAAAAAAAAAAGACAAAAATAAAATCAAAAGGACGCTGAAAATGAAAATGTATACAGAATGAAGCTCACGAATAACATGCTCCAGACAAAGTTTGGACAAGGGATTTGCTCGATGACACTGAGCCTGGTGATCTCACAACAGCTGCGTTAAAGCTCGCTTAGGATGGAGCGAAGTCTGCCAGCGGGAGGTCAACTTAAAGATCGCTGGTCTTGCGTGTCACTGTCGAAACAGCTTTTTAAACCAAGACCTCTTTCCCAGCCCTTTCTTTGTTTTAATTTTAATGGTGGCCTGGCCTTTACCCGCTGCGCAAATGCGCAAAACATCGGCCTATTGTTTGTATTAAAAAGATTAATAAAAGCAGAGAGTGTCCACAGCACATTTGGCGGCAGCTTTCTCTGGCATTTCGGGGTAAATGAGGAGTGGGCGAGCATAGTTTCATTCGGTGCTCAAGGCGCGCGAGGGCACGGACTCCCGCTTTGACTGCATCGCCGAAGAGAGTTCTTCCCTAGCAGATATCGTTTATTCGCGAAATCAAGTAACGCGTGACTTGTCAAAGAGGACAAGAGCTTTGATGATACGAAAGGACTATCATGAATGTTGGCTTTCAGCGTGCACTAAAAAATACGCATAAGTAGTGGTACACTCTAAGCAAATTTTGTGCGTTCGCTTTCCTCCCGAACACGAGAAAACGAATCAAGGCGAACATCGGAAGGGTCCCAGCAAATGACCAAGCTTGGGATACGATTAGACCAAACAATATGATGTGCGCAGGGACCGTGCGCACGGCGTTCTACTTGCTCTTGTCCGGGCACACATCGCAATAGACGCGTTCCACGCACCGTACAGGTAGAAAGATCAAGGCGAGCGCGGGGCATCCTAACTCTACTCGAGGTGTACTGACTCTGATAAGTGAGGTCAACGACGGGTCCTCGACCACGCTGGATGCCAAAAGACAAAAGAACGGGTTGTGGTCAAGGCGAGCGCGGTTCTTCCGTCCAGGCTTTCGGTGTCCAGTCCCCGGCGCTGCTCGAGCCCGTCCCCGTCGGCCCCCTGCGGCAACGACGACGAAGCCCCTGGCGACGGCGGCGTCCCAGGCGGCGTGCCCTGGGAGCAGCGCCGGCGTCGGCTGCCGCGCATCACGTACTCGGTCTCCCAGGACTCGCACCTGGTGGGTGCCGGCCTGGAGCGGCCCATCTACCCCGGCCTGCCCTTCTCGCCCTTCAGCTCGCCCTGCTCGTCGCCCCGGCTGGGCAGGAGCATCCGCGAGTCCCGCAGGGTGTCCATCGAAGCCCATAAGGGATACACGCAGCTCAACCAGTACCGCCTCAAGGAGGAGATTGGGCAGGTGGGTGTGGGACAGGTGCTACCCACGCGCCCATAGGCCAGACTTCTGCGGAGCGCAAGTTCGTCTGCTTCATTTGCAGGGGTTGTGGTGACGTCAGAACGCCGAGCTCTGATTGGCTCTGATCGAAGGATACTGGGTAGACCTCAAAGCACGCTACCTTGAGGTCTACCCACTATTCTTCATTCAAAACCAATCGAAGCTCGGCGTTCTGACGTCACCACAACCCCTATTAAAAGAAGCAGACGAATTTGCGCTCCGCATTGCGAGGCTACCGACCATTTTTACACTTTTTTCCGCCCTGATCGTGAAGCAAAGAGTCGCCGGAGGTGACCCTTGTCCGCGCCCACGGTGTATTTGCGCCTCAAAATGTCGCAACCGCCGAAGCTGCACCTAGAAAGGCAAGGGCATCATTACCGAATCCACATAGCCAACGAGAGCCAAACAAGCGATGAATACACTATGGGACGTTCACCGGCGGAGGCCCGCTCTCCTACTTCTAAATCTGTTCCGTTCATTTTTTCCGGGTCGTCGCCATTTTTCTACACGTTACTCATAAAAAGTAATCGATTGCAATTAAAATTACTCTCGGTTAAATAGTATTCGATTAGATTACTCGATTGCTTGAGAAGGAAAGTAATGGTTACTTTTCCGATAATTTCAGATTTTCAAAACGACAGATCTTTTAGCCTCTTTGAAAACGGGTCTTTGGTACTGTACATGATTGGATTATGATCACCGAACTATGGACTACTTACTATCTTGATCCATCAATTTTGGTCGACTGTACTCCCGACGGAGACTTGAGTCTGGGATTTCCTGTCATTTTAGTCATCTTAAGTCACAAGTCATTTTAATACTTCCAAAAGTAATCCGATTACTCTCACGATTGCTTCCTAATAAATGTATTAAAATAATTACAAAATTGCTTTATGGAAAGTAACTGATTACTAGTAATTTGATTACTTCTGATGAGTATACCTTACAAGTCTGGTCGTTGCTTCCGAGGCCGGGTGGCGGAGGCTGTTGAGGATAACATAAAGGACGATGTAGTGTCCACTTGTCGCGCGAGCATCGGGGTTCTGCACGGGACACAAAACCGTATACAGTACTTTGTAGACCGACTTCATAGGCGCGGGTCTAAGGCTACTTCGATTTCTTGCTTAACATACAGTACAGTCGTGGGCAAGACAAGTTGAAACGACTGAACGGTAACCGAAAGATATTGAGGATGCTGCCCCGATGTGAGAAGTTGAATTAGTAACGAGAAACAGCGTGTGAACGAGGTTGTGCAGCGGTACGCTACCTGACTCAACCTGATCATGCTTCGGTACATGCGCGCCGTTGCTAGCGAACGTGCTGTTACTGGGTTTGTGTCTGGTTATCATCCCTTTTGCCTGTTATTCAAACATCGAAAAAAAACATTATTTGACTGGCGCAGAGAGCACGCACTCACATAATGAAGGCGACGACAAGCTTGGGTAGGCGGTAGCGAAGAGTAAAGGCGAGTCACGGCGAAGTGCTTCTAAACACTGAAAGGGAACAGGTTGAGTCACATAGCAGTGTGGCTATGGTACTTTCGTGAGCCTGCTATATCTCTCGTTGCTGCACCGATAATTTAAGAAACCCGGGGCTGCTTAGGTTCATGCGTCTTGCTTCGTAACTGGTTCTTAAGTTCTCTTATCGTCTAATGCTGCAGTCTCATTGGCTGCGTTTCTAAAGCTGTCCGCGACTGTAGCTCAACTTTGGACTCCAGGCAGCGCCACCGGTGTCTTTTGGCCGTCGCTCGCTCGCTTCATCTTGCATCCTGCAAGCTGAAACGACATTGCGCAAAAGCGTAGGCATCAGCTTTCCCTCTGAAAACACGGAAGCCAATCAAAGGTATATTCCGGAAGGCATCCAGATAATGGCGAGAAAGTAGAGTCCGATAACATTCGGACCTCATACCGCGTGGCGTCTCGTTAATACGGACCCCCGCTATACATAGACAACATTTTTGGGGACGAACTGGGTCAATACGTGCATTTTTGTCTCGTTATTATAGACAACTCGCATTATGAACTCTTTTTTTGTTTTGCGGAGAGAGGGGGGCGGGGGGACGGAAGCGTTCATATTAACGAGACATCACTGCACTATATAGTTCATTTCGCCCTAAAGGAGCGGTGCGATGAAATTCAATTGGAAAGCTCTCCACTCTACACAAGTTTACTGGCATTAGTGTGACCCAGGAATACTCGCACTCAGCACCATTGACCAAGAAACTGCTTTGTTGTGGTGGAAGTTCAAGGATAAAAGCGAGCGTTTTCTTTCAATTTCTCCTTCGCAAAATTTGATGAATATAATTGGGGGGGGGGGGGGGGGGGGGTTGTGTGGATATTTAGACAGCGTGTAGATGGTCAGTCATTTGAAAGTTGCGATGACTCACTCGCTGTAGGTCAGGAATATAGCTAGTGCAGTACAACCGCTAGCCTGGGGTCTTTAGCGTGCACCACGCAGTAGTGATACACGACCGCACGCCGGTACGATGCTCACTTTCCAGATCGAAACGGGCAGGGGTGAGGATTGAGCCCAGGATTTAGTTTCTGCAGCGCAAGTTTTCGTTCCACGTGCTCAGAGCTAATGCGCGCTATAAAAAAAAAAAAAAAAAAAAAAAAAGAACATTTGGCAGCCCATCTATGTTGTGGTTTCTCTCCTGTGCTGTAGACTTGCAAGTTCAGTTCATCAACAAATATGCGCAGATTCTAGTAAACATACGTTCTAGTACCTACCTGAATAATTTTCAAGGAGAGTTGTTCTTGCCATTTTTTGTGACATAACGATAAAATATGTTCTGCACATATCAGGTTAGTCTTTTATTACGTGAACTTTAGTATGATCTTAAATACCGTGTATTGTCGCGGATTTATGAATGGAAATAAAGTGTTTTCTAGCTATTTAAAACATTTCAGTATTCACTGTGCGTTTTCTGTTTCGTAGGGAGCGTTTGGAATCGTCAAACTGGCGTACAGCGAAGAAGATGACAGCCATTATGTAAGTATGGGCTCTCATTATATATCCTTGCAGTTATTTTATTATGGACATTTTCTTTTCCTGATGTACAATAGCTACTGAGTCTTTTAATGCTAACAAGTACACTCTTGAAAAAGCCCGTGTGTCTACTTCCCCGCAAAACACTCGGAGAGCCAATCACCGCAACCTATGCAGGCAGCTCAGGGAAGGACAATGGGGAAACATATGTTTAGACTAAAAAACGCAGTAGAGTCGATTGCTGGGCTAGTTGGCGCACTGTGCTGTCTGTTTCTCGCCTCTTTGTCCCTGTTTTTTGAGCGCTAAAAGGTATTCCAAATTCTAAAAAACGCAGTCTGAGTTCTGACATTAAGCAATGCAAAACGTCACGCTTGCATTTCTTTAATGTCACAACTCGGACTGCGTCTTTTGGTCTAAACATATGTTTCCGCATTGTCCTTCCCTGAGCTGCCTGCGTAAGTTGCGGTGATTGGCTCTCCGAGTGTTGTACGGGAAAGGAGACGCACGGGCTTCTTTTAGTGTGTAGTCTGCTAACAAATAATTATGCCGTTTTGTACTGACATATTCAAAAGTGACACAACGCCTGTTCTGCAGTATTCAAAGAAATTGAAGACTCAATACGACGTCGTGCGCTCGGTGTACAAAAAAAGAAAAAGCATCCCTTAAATCAAGATGAAAATAATTTAGTACAATCATGCCTATTTCCTGCTACATTTTAAGATAATATTAAAAAAATAGAGTTCTAACCTACTATATTTCGAGATGCAACGTCACCGGGCACGTTCACTGCCTGCAGAAGATATTCTAAGACACCCTTCAGTATGATTTCCTTGTTCTTAACCAATTAAAAGAAAATAAACAAACCATATTTACCCACTCAGTAGCTCAGTATGCAAATCTAAATACTTTTACATGGTGGCAATCAGAAACCATGTATAAAATTAGAAGTTAAGAACTGTTTTTTTATGTCGTTTGGACTCCTGTTTTTCTATTCATATGTCTGCCAGACCGCCTCTCAAGTTCAGTGTAAAAAATATATAGCGATGCATTATCCCACAACGAAATTGGCTCTCTATACATAAATTTCGTTGTGGTCTGTTGTAAATTTATTGGCGCTCACGCGAAAACGTGGTCTGACTGTCATCGCTAGTGCAATCACATTCCTCTTCATATCCAAGCTACGTTACGCAGATTATATCTGAAACCGGAGCACACTTCAAACACGCTATTTGTACTTCGTCTACCTTTGTTTCTACACTCTAAGAAATGCCTGTGCGTCTACTTACCCGCAAAGCACTCAAAGAGCCAATCTGTGCAATCTACGAAATCAGCTCAGCGAATGATGAGGCGGAACATCTTTTTAGACCTCAAAATTTACTCTGCGCTGTGGCGTTACGCAATGCAAGCATGACGCTTTGCATTACGTAATGCCACAGCGCAGACTTCATTTTTAAGTCGAAACGAATGTTCCGCCTCCCTGAGCTGATTTCGTAAATCGCAGAGATTGGCTCTTTGAGTGTTTTGCGGGTAAGTAGACGCGCAGGCATTTCTGAGAGTGTAATTCATATTGATTATACTCATCGTTCTTGGCTCGAAACTATCGAACGTTCTCCCTACTTTTCTACAGGCAATGAAAATCTTGTCCAAGAAAAAGCTTTTGAAGAGGGCCGGCATGTTCGGTGAGTGAGGCGGATTTAGAGAGCGAACTCGGGACGAGCGTCGCCATCTTTAAAGCAATTCGTTATTTCTAAGGGTGCCGGCGCACCGTTTCAAAGTGTTGTTGGTTTTTGGTTTGCTGCAACTTTTATTTTATTTTTTTTTTAGTTCGCTGCAACTTTTGATCCAACGACCGTATCGAGTTATGTCTGGTTTGAAGTTCCTTTTAGGAACAATATGGGATTTCAGACGTCGTCAGCGTTTCAGAACTTCGCACACACAAAATCAATTGTGAACCCTCGATCGTACCGTCAATTAGTGCAGTGAAGGTTGCGAGTACGGGCGCCTTACTTGGATCCAGTGTTGCCGTTGAGCGGTAGATGAAAGTAGCCAAAAGAAATCCTTAAAAATCGGGGAAGGGGGGGGGGGGGGGGGGGGGGGGGAGCTCGATACGCTCTTAGTGGACGTGAATAAATGCTGCCACAGCGCTTGATGGCCACGCCAAATGTTTGTGTTTTCCTGCACCCGCAAACTGAAATTCAGTCTCAGAGTTACCGTCGGCGTTCCTCGCGCGCTCTCGTCTCCTCCTCTCCCTCACTTTCTCGGCGCATGCGCGCTAGAAACGACCTTGTGAGCGGCCGCTTCGCGCCAGAAGTTTAGACAGGTTGGTTGGTCCAGGTATTAGAAACTGACTGCAGGGGCCGAATTTCTGATCCTAGATCATCAGAAGAACGTTCCAAAAAGGTAAACGTAAGCATTA